TGATTTGAGTCCTCTCCCTCTTTTACTTGATGAGTCTGGCTAATGGTTTATCAATTTTGTTTATCTGCTCAAAGAACCAGCGTTTAGTTTTATTGATCTTTGCTATTGTTTCCTTTGTTTCTATTTCATTTATTTCTGCTCTGATCTTTATGATTTCTTTCCTTCTACTAAATTTGTCCGTAGGTCTGTAGGTCTACTAACTTTGGGTTTTGTTTGCTCTTTCTCTAGTTCGTTTAGGTGTAAGGTTAGATTCTCTATTTGAGATGTTTGCTGTTTCTTGAGGCAGGATTGTATTGCTGTAAGCTTCCCTCTTAGAACTGGTTTCACTGCATCCCATAGGTTTTGGATTGTCGTGTTCTCGTTGTCACTTGTCTCTAGGTATTTTTTGATTTCCTCTTTGATTTCTTAAGTGATCTCTTGGTTATTTAGTAACCTATTGTTTAGCCTCCACGTGTTTGTGTTTTTTACGTTTTTTTTTTCCCACTGTAATTGCTTTCTAATCTCATAGCGTTGTGGTCGGAAAAATTGCTTGATATGATTTCAATTTCCTTAAATTTACTAAGGCTTGACTTGTGACCCAAGTTGTGATCTGTCCTGAAGAATGTTCCATGTGCACTTGAGAAGAAAGTGTAATCTGCTGTTTTGGGATGGAATGTCCTATAAATATCAATTAAATCTATCTGGTCTACTGTGTCATTTAAAGCTTCTGTTTCCTTATTAATTTTCCGTCTGGATGATCTGTCCATTGGTGTAAATGAGGTGTTAAAGTCCCCCATTATTATTGTGTTACTGTCGATTTCCTCTTTTATAGCTGTTAGCATTTGCCTTATGTATTGAGGTGCTCCTATGTTGGGTGCATATATATTTCTAATAGTTATATCTTCCTCTTGGATTGATCACTTGATCATTATGTAGTGTCCTTCCTTGTCTCTTGTAACATTCTTTATTTTAAAGTCTATCTTATCTGATATGAGTATTGCCACCCCAGCTTTCTTCTGACTTCCATTTGCATGGAATAACTTTTTCCATTCTCTCACTCTCAGTCTGTATGTGTCCATAGGTCTGAAGTGGGTCTCTTGTAGACAGCACATATATGAGTTTTGTTTTTGTATCCATTCCACAAGCCTGTGTCTTTTGGTTGGAGCATTTAATCCATTCACGTTTAAGGTAATTATAGATATGTATGATCCTATTAACATTTTCTTAATTGCTTTGGGTTTGTTTTTGTAGGTCCTTTTCTTCTCTTGTGTTCCCCACTTAGAGAAGTTCCTTTAGCATTTGTAGTAGAGCTGGTTTGGTGGTGCTGAATTCTCTTAACTTTTGCTTGTCTGTAAAGCTTTTGATTTTTCTGTCAAATCTGAATGAGATCCTTGCCGGGTAGAGTAAGCTTGGTTGTAGGTTCTTCCCTTTCATTACTTTAAATATATTGTGCCACTTCCTTCTGGCCTGTAGATTTTCTGCTGAGAAATCAGCTGTTAACCTTATGGGAGTTCCCTTGTATGTTATTTGTTGTTTTTCCCTTGTTGCTTTCAATAATTTTTCTTTGTCTTTAATTTTTGTCAATTTGATTACTATGTGTCTCGGAGTGTTTCTCCTTGGGTTTATCCTGCCTGGGACTCTTTGTGCTTCCTGGACTTGGGTGGCTATTTCCTTTCCCATGTTAGGGAGGTTTCTGACTACAATCTCTTCAAATATTTTCTTGGGTCCTTTCTCTCTCTCTTCTCCTTCTGCAACCCCTATAATGTGAATGTTGGTGCATTTAATGTTGTCCCAGACGTCTCTTAGGCTGTCTTCATTTCTTTTCATTCTTTTTTCTTTATTCTGTTCCATGGCAGTGAATTCCACCAACCTGTCTTCTAGGTCACTTATCTGTTCTTCTGCCTCAGTTATTCTGCTACTGATTCCTTCTAGTATATTTTTCATTTCAGTTATTGTATTGTTCGTCTCTGTTTGTTTGTTCTTTAATTCTTCTAGTGGTTGGTTCTTTAATTCGTCTAGGTCTTTGTTAAACATTTGTTGCATCTTCTCGATCTTTGCCTCCATTCTTTTTCCAAGGTCCTGGATCACCTTCACTATCATTATTCTGAATTCTTTTTCTGGAAAGTTGCCTATCTCCACTTCATTTAGTTGTTTTTCTGGGATTTTATCTTGTTCCTTCATCTGGTACATAGTCCTCTGCCTTTCATTTTGTCTATCTTTCTGTGAATGTGGTTTTCCTTTCACAGGCTGCAGGATTGTAGTTCTTCTTGCTTCTGCTGACTGTCCTCTGGTGGATGAGGCTATCTAAGAGGCTTGTGCAAGCTTCCTGATGGGAGGGACTGGTGGGGGGTAGAGCTGGGTGTTGCTCTGGTGGGCAGAGCTCAGTAAAACTTTAATATACTTGTCTGCTGATGGGTGGGGCTGAGTTCCCTCCCAGTTGGTTGTTTGGCCTGAGGCGACCCAGCACTGGAGCCTACCGGCTGTTTGGTGGGGCTAATGGCAGACTCTGGGAGGGCTCACGCCAAGGAGTACTCCCAGAACTTCTGCTGTCAGTGTTCTTGTCCCCGCGGTGAGCCACAGCTGCCCCTGGGCTCTTCAGGAGACCCTCCAACACTAGCAGGTAGGTCTGGTTCAGTCTCCCATGGGGTCACTGCTCCTTCCCCTGGGTCCTGATGCACACACTACTTTGTGTGTGCCCTCCAAGAGTGGAGTCTCTGTTTCCCCCAGTCCTGTCAAAGTCCTGCAATCAAATCCCGCTAGCTTTCAAAGTCTGATTCTCTGGGAATTCCTCCTCCCTTGTCGGACCCCCAGGTTGGGAAGCCTGACGTGGGGCTCAGAACCTTCACTCCAGTGGGTGGACTTCGGTGGTATAATTGTTCTCCAGATTCTGAGTCACCCACCCAGTGGTTATGGGACTTTACTTTATTGTGATTGTGGCCCTCCTACCGTCTCACTGTGGCTTCTCCTTTGTCTTTGGATGTGGGGTATCTTTTTTGGTGAGTTCCAGTCTCTTCCTGTCGATGATTGTTCAGCAGTTAGTTGTGATTCCGGTGCTCTTGCAAGAGGGAGTGAGCGCATGTCCTTCTACTCTGCCATCTTGAACCAATCTCCTAGGAAACTCTTACATAGCATGAAATATGTATGCTCTAAGTGCTTTCCATACATAGGCTTATTAATTCTCACCAAATCCAGTGTGATAAATCTATTATTTTCCCCACTTTACGAAGGAGACTCTGAAGCACAGAGAGGTTGCATGGGTAGAAAGTGCTGGGGCCAGTGTATGAAGCCAAGCAAACTGCATTCAAAGGCCACACGGATCTTAGAAATAGAGGAACTCAAAGGAAGATCAAAGCAGGCGTGCCCTTTTCAAGGCTAAGCTCTAAATATGCAGTGTTTTGTCTGGCTTATTTCTATTGGCTGTTTGTCACCTAACAAAGAAAATCTGCTTTTGTTTTTAAAGTACTAATGCTGATGAAGATCAGATCAAGGATAAGCTGGAACAGTTGAGATGTCACTTTACATGGGAGTTGGTCATTAAGGACACTGAAATACCTGAATTAGAAAACAGGGTCTTGGAGCAGATTGAGTTCCTAGACACCACATACAAAGTGGGAATATACAACTTACTGGCCTATGTGAAACACCTGAGAGGCCAGAATGAGGAAGCCTTGAAGAGTTTGAAAGAAGCTGAAGACTTAACCCAGCAAGAACATGCCAACCAATCAGACATGAGAAGTCTGGTTACCTGGGGCAACTATGCCTGGCTGCATTACCACATGGGCCGACATGCAGAAGCCCAGATTTACCTGGACAAGGTGAAGAACACTTGCAGGAAGCTTGCAAATTCCTCCAGCTATAGAATGGAGGGTCCTTATATGGACTGTGAGGAAGGATGGGCCTTGCTGAAATGTGGAGGAAGCAATTATGAACGGGCCAAGGTCTGCTTTGAAAAGGCTCTGGAAGTGGACCCTGAAAACCCTGAATTCAGCGCTGGGTATGCAATCACCGTCTATCGCCTGGAGAGCTTTAACAAAGCAGTACGGCATACTGGGGAATTCTGTCTGAATACCCTAAAACAGGCTGTCAGGCTAAATCCAAAAGATGCATATATTAAGGCTCTCCTTGCCCTGAAGCTTCAAGGTGTAGGACAAGAAGCTGAAGGAGAAAAATACATTAAAGAAGCACTGACCAACGCGTCCTCAAAGATCTATGTCTTCCGATATACTGCCACGTTTTACCGAAGAAAAGGCTCTCTGGATAAAGCTCTTCAGTTCTTAAAACTGGCCTTGAAAGCAACACCCTCCTCTGTCGTCCTGCATCACCAGATGGGGCTTTGCTACAAGTCACAAATGATCCAAATAAAGAAAGCTACAAACTGTCAGCCTAAAGGACAGGATAAAGAAAACGTCAACAGAATAATACAGTCAGCCATATCTCATTTTGAATTTGCTGTGCAACAAAAGCCCACATTTGAGTTTGCTTACATAGACCTGGCAGAAATGTACACAGAAGCAGGTGACCACAGAAAAGCTGAAGATGCTTATCAAAAGGTGTTATGCATGGAATCACTCAACAAATATATGCTGCAACAGGTACATTTCCACTATGGCCGATTTCTGGAATTAAAAAAAAAATCTGAAGTTGATGCAATCAGCCATTATTTAAAAGCAGCAAAAATAGAAAAGGCATCATTAGCAAGGAATAAAAGTATCAGTTCTTTGAAGAAATTGGCTTTAAAGAAACTTCAGAGCGATGCCTCAGATATGGAAAGCTTGTGCATCCTTGGGTTCATCCAAAAAGTAAAAGGAGAAATGAATGAAGCCCTGGAGTATTAAGAGCAGGCCCTGAGGCTGGTTCCTGTCTTGGAGAACTCTGTGCTTGTGACCTGTAGGCACTGAAATATGGACCACTCTTACATATCATTTGGTTTTACATCAACATATACTAATCATCTTTCCTGCTTGCTGCTTTCAGAAACATGTAATTCACTGCAATGATGTAATCTTTGAACAATTACTCAAACCTGATACAACATTGGTTGTATTGAGAAAATAGTGAAACAGACTATACAGGTCTCTGTGTGTGAAAGAGAGAGAGGAAGAGAGAGAAGAACCATTTCTCTGTGAATGTTATATAGTAGAAAAAAAAAAGTTTGCTGAGTAGATTTGTAGCAAGTAAAACACTGGCCTTGACATGGAGCCAACCTAAATGTCCATCGACAGATGAATGGATAAAGAAGATGTGGCACATACAAACAATGGAATATTACTCAGCCATAAAAAGAAACGAAATTGAGTTATCTGTAGTGAGGTGGATGGACCTAGAGTCTGTCATACAGAGTGAAGTAAGTAAGTAAGAAAGAGAAAAACAAATACTGTATTCTAACTATATATGGACTCTAAAACAAAAAAATGATACTGATGAACCTAGTTGCAGGGCAGGAATAAAGATGTAGACATAGAGAATGGACTTGAGGACATGGGGTGGGAGGGGGAAGCTGGGGTAAAGCGAGAGTAGCATCGACATATATACACCACTGATCGTAAAATAGCTAGTGGGAAGCAGCTGCATAGCACAGGGAGATCAGCTTGGTGCTTTGTGATGACCTAGAGGGGTGGGATAGGGAGGGTGGGAGGGAGGCTCAAGAGGGAGGGGATATGGGGACATGTGTATGCATATGGCTGATTCACTCTGGTGTACAACAGAAACTAACACAGTATTGTGAAGCAATTACACTCCAATAAAGATCTATTAAAAAAAAACCCACTGGACTTACGTAAAATAAAATGTTCAATTCATTCATTTTATCAATAGTTTTCAGTGCTAGATACCAAAACTACTATGGTGATGTAGGGGAGGAAAAATTCTTTTTCCTCTACCCATCTTAGGTTCATTGGCTTGGGCCTTAAATTAAACTGAAAAAAGACAAATTAACAAGAGAAAAACAAACAAGTTTATTAACACATGCATTGGGCATACCCAGGGGAGTACCCAGTGATGAGTAATTCAAAGGGGTGGGTTTATATAGCATCCTAACAAACAAACAATACATTTTTAGAGAAGTGATAAGGCAAAGGCAAAGAACTTTAGTTTCTAAGTGGCAAATTATAGGAAGGCAAATATATGAGGGAAACTAATGGAAGATAATAGCCTGCTTATAAGGTTTGTTATGTATATTTTTCTGTTTGTGTCTCTGGGTTGATTAGGGACTAGAGTTGTTTCAGGTGATCAACTTCTCTCCTTCCCGGTAGAGGAGGAGAGATATCTTTTTCAGGAAGATGGGGGAGAGCAGAGAGCTTTCCTTATATCTGCTTCTTTTCAACTGCCTTTAGCTCAAAATAATCCTATGGCAAGGTGGCATATTTGGGGGTGGCATATTCTGCTACCCTTCAGTGAAACAAAGCAGACATTTTCCCCAAACCTCATGCAGCTTACAATCTAGTGAGAAAGACAGTAAAACAAATACACAGTCAATTAAAGGTCAGCTTTCCCCATGAAGATGTTTGAAATTTAATTCATTGTCAAACTGTGCCAAGTAGTTTCTCTTGTTTTATGCCATTTTGTTTGAAGTGTTATTGATTCAGTCATTTGCTGGTATTGACCTTTCTCCAAAGAAGATATACAGATTACCAACAAACACATGAAAGGATGCTCAACATCACTAATCATTAGAGAAATGCAAATCAAAACTGCAGTAAGGTATCACCTCACACCAGTCAGAATGGCCATCATCAAAAAATCTACAAACAATAAATGCTGGAGAGGGTGTGGAGAAAGGGGAACCCTCTTGCACTGTTGGTGGGAATGTAAATTGATACAGCCACTATGGAGAACAGTATGGAGGTTCCTTAAAAAACTAAAAATAGGGCTTCCCTGGTGGCGCAGTGGTTGAGAGTCCGCCTGCCGATGCAGGGGACACGGGTTCGTGACCCGGTCCAGGAAGATCCCACATGCTGCAGACCTGTTGGGTCCATGAGCCATAGCCGCTGAGCCTGCGCATCCGGAACCTGTGCTCCGCAATGGGAGAGGCCACAACAGTGAGAGGCCCGCGTACTGAAAAAAACAAAAAAAAAAACTAAAAAAAAACACTAATAATAGAACTACCATATGATCCAGCAATCCCACTACTGGGTATATGCCCTGAGAAAACCATGATTCAAAAATAGTCATGTACCACAATGTTCATTGCAGCTCTATTTACAATAGCCAGGACATGGAAGCAACTTAAGTGTCCATCGACAGATGAATGGATGAAGAAGATGTGGCACTTATATACAATGGAATATTACTCAGCCATAAAAGAAAATGAAATTGAGTTATTTGTAGTGAGGTGGATGGACCTAGAGCCTGTCATACAGAGTGAAGTAAGGCTAACACATATATATGGAATCTAAAAAAAACCAAAACCCCCGAAACATGGTTCTGAAGAACCAGGGGCGGGACAGGAATAAAGACACAGATGTAGAGAATGGACTTGAGGACACGGGTAGTGGGAGGGGTAAGCTGGATGAAGTGAGAGAGTGGCATGGACATATACACACTACCAAATGTAAAATAGATAGCTATTGGGAAGCAGATGCATAGCACAAGGAGATCAGCTCGGTGCTTTGTGAGGGGTGGGATATGTAGAGGGGTGGGATACGGAGGGTGGGAGGGACACGCAGTGGGGAGGAGATATGGGGATGTATGTATAGCTGATTCACTTTGTTATAAGGCAGAAACTAACACACCATTGTAAAGCAATTATACTCCAATAAAGATGTTTAAAAAAATGATAAAGGCAAAACAATTGCCCTCTGGTGCAAGAGTTACTATGTTTTCATTTTTTGTTTGTGTGGTTTAAAGAGGAGATTCCTGGCTTGTTAGAATGTCACAAACCAAAGACCACAAACCAAAGCTTTATACCAAAACTTGAACAAAATTATATTTTGTTATATGTTTCTCTTCTCTGTAGAATACTAAATATCACGTAACAGTTCTTTCTTCAAAAGTCATCTTTAAAATGAATTGCAAAATCATTTATACTATCTTGTCTCCATGAATTCTCATTGTCTAATGTATAATTTAACCAAAAGAGCATCCATCTTCTGGAAAAATATTACTGAGATTTATTTCTTTTATGCCTCTCAGCTTTTCCATGAAGATATATCTAGAATGGATTTGGGATCACTGTTCCACTGGAAAGTTACTGATAGCTCCTGCCAGAACTTGTTTTTTGATGGTAAGGAAATAAATGCAACTCTCAAGTTCTTAAAATAGTATGTGACCACCAAAATATTCATCAGCTAAACAAATAAATGTTCATTTGAGAATACAAATAGTTTCTTGAAGGGTCTCGAAGGTTCTGTCATTATCTTCTGAGTACACCAAAATGACCATCCTTATTTTACTTGGATAAAAAATGTAACCATGTGGTGATTTTCAGAAGGCATCAAATAGTAGAGTTTGGACCAGATAGGCCTGAGTTTGCATTTTGATTCTACCATTTGCCCTCTCTTAACCTTATTTTCCTCATTTGTAAAATGACAATGATTACATAGGATTAGTGTAGATTTATTAAGGTAGTGAATATAAAATACTTGGAACACTAAAGATGTTGATTGGAAGTAAGTTCCCTTTCTTAAATTATATCAAACAAAAAACAAACAAAAATCCTCTATGTAATACAATATAAATTGTTTATTATTGCTGAGAGACTCATTTTTTCAAAGTCACCATCAAAAATGGTAAACTAACAGGAACAATCAAACACTATTCTGGAGCAGTGTTGTCTAATATAACTTTTTATGATGAAAAAATGTTCTATACCCATGCTGTCCAATATGGTAGCCACTAGCAATATGTGGCTACTGTGCACTTAAAATGTGGTTAATATAACTGAGGAACTGAATTTTTATTTTTATTAAATGTGAATTAATTAAATTTTAATTTAATTAATTTATTTTTAATTGATTAATTTTTTCTTCCAGTTTTATTGAGATATAATTGACATACAGCACTGTATAAGTTTAAGGCATACAGCATAATGAATTAAATTAATAAATAATTAAATTTTTATCTGATGTGGCTAGTGGCTACTGTATTGGACAATACAGTTCTAGTGGAATAATGAGCTCAAATTTTGCCAAATTGATGTAGACATATCAAAGTCAGCATTCACAATTAAAAAAATGAATGATACTATTCTACATGTAATTTATGACTAACCAGTTCATCTTAAGTCTCACTGTGATAGACATTAGAAAGTGGAGTTCTTTTCTTGATGAGTCTATTTCTTGACCTCTGTTTCTGCCCCTAACTCCAGCTTACATACAGATGAAAAGGCAGAATTCTCATTTGACTTTAAGAGGCCAGAAGGTTTGGTATGCTTATCTCAAATCAGGCTGATATGTTTCCTCATGCTAAAAGGTGACAGTAAATATAAGACCTCACCCTCTCTTTTATCTCTTGTTCAGAAGACATCTGTATTCAAATATAAATTTGTGCTCACAAATACATCTAAGGGGCAGTAGATGTCTATGAGAATTGTGACCAAAACTGATATATATATATTTTAAATTGGGATGTAGCTGTTTTACAATGTTGTGTTAGTTTCTACTGTACAGTGAAGTGGAGTTCCCTGTGCTATATAGCAGGTTCTCATTAGTTATCTATTTTATACATATTAGTGTATATATGTCAATCCCAATCTCCCAAGTCATCCCACCCCCCGTTTCACCCCTTGGTGTCCATACATTAGTTCTCTATGTCTGTGTCTCTATTTCTGCCTTGCAAATGAGTTCATCTGTACCATTTTTCTAGATATGTTTTTTTAAAGGGAAACTGAGTGTGCTGGGTAAGGTGGAGGTGAAAGTGGTTGTGAAAGGTAAAAGGAATAAGAACAAAATTAAAATGTATCAAGATCCAAAACAGGAGAAGAGAAAGCTCTCAAAGCAAAAGTGAAAGCATGAGACAGGAAGATAACGTGTGGGGTAGGCAGATGGTAGAGAGGGTGGAAGCAGGACAGTGTCTGGGTCAAAGCACCTGCAAGACACAGGAGAAAAAGAACATCCAAATTCAGAAGGCGACTAATCCAGAGCTGAGCGCTCCTCTGAACCCATCATCACTAAGGTCAACTGGCTCCTGCTGAAAATTTTCAGACCACACTTACCTGACTTCTGAGTCACGGTTGGTAGGGGTGGTGCTGCCCGCTCTTCTACCTTGAAACTCTGTCCTTGTTGTTTGTTCCACAAAATAATTGGTTTCTTCTTATCTTCCTAGACGCTGCTTCTCAGTCTCCTTCCCAGCTGATTTTTTTATCTCCACTAGGTATGATTAGGGGAGGCTGTGCACTGCTCAGCTCCAGGGGTGCCATTCACATTGTAGACTGCACACATCTGTAAATTAATTATGATGACGTTCGGGCTGATGGCAGTAAAGGTGTCCTCTAATTCACACAAGGGCACCATATGGCCTAGAAGCTCCTCAGTTTGGCCTCTAGCAAGGCAGTACTTCCCCTTGCGGGAGACCCTAGGCCCTTTGCTGTTTTCATTTTTAATGTAGATACTGATGACCTCATTCATACATACAGCTTCATCCACTACCTATATGGCTCCTAAACTGTTATACTATCCACAACCAGACTTCTCTCCAGAGCCCCAGACTCACCTTCTAATGGGGTTTTTACACGGTTCTACTCAGATATTTCAGTGGCACCAAAAATACAACACATTAAAAAGATGAATTGATCCCCAATCCTGTTTAACACCACCATCATCCATCTCGTAACTCAAGCCAGAATGTGAGAATTATCTCTATCTCACTCACTCCCCACAAAACATCAATCTGTAAATCCTGGAGATTCTGCCTCAATTAACTTCTTTCACATCTGTCCCTGCTACATTCTTAGTGCAGTTGTTTGGGGCCTCTCAATGGCCCTCTCCAATCACCTGTCATCTTTTCTGTTAATCTGGTGCATTCTGCATCCACATAGTTTCCAGTGGGATCTTGGCACATATTACCATGTCACTCTCTCACTGAAGCTTCTTCAATTGTTATATCTTGCTAATGCAATTCGTGATGGAATTTGAATTCCCAGTTGTGGGATATAACAAGTCACTACAGGTGAGCTGGTCCCGGCATGCTTCTCCATTTTCAACTTCCACCACTTGTCCTGACATATACGACACTTTAGACATACACATTACCTTTGCCTTCCTTAACAGGCCCAGCTCAACCTCTGAGGCTGGGTCAGTGGTCCTTCCTAGAACTCCAGTGGTATTTAGCAGAGCACATTGCAATAGTTTCCAAATCTGTCTTTCCCGAGAGACTTCAAGTACCTTGAGAACAGGGAAATGATTTTATCTTTGTATCTCTAGTACTTGCTACTCAGAATGATTGACAAGTTGATGGGTGAATGCATAAGTCAAAGAGAAAGGAAAGGGAGGAAATTATGAACTTCAAATTCTTCTGAAAGATCAGGAAAGTTGAGGAGGTAAGGTAGGAAAGAAAATAGTGGCTATGACGCAGTCCATATCTCCAGATTTCAAAATCACTCAGCTTTTTCTAACCACGTAGGTAGAAGTGTAGCATTGAATGCAGCATTATTTCACAGAGGCACCTAACATTTTTATGCTTCAGTTTTTTAAAAAAATCTTTAAAAGGGGCCAAATTACTTCAAAGCAGTAATACCCTATAAAGTGTTTGTCAAAGCTATGGATATTGTTGATAAAACTTAAAGGAGAGTTGCTATGATATTTAAATGTAAAAGAATAATGGGAGAGAATAGAAATTGCTTTACACAAAGCTATTTCAAAACAGTGAGCATAAAAGGAAACTCTCCAAGCATATTTTTTCTTCTATTCTTCTTTCTTTTAAAAAAGTTTGTTATTTTAAAAGTACATAGATGTTCACAGCTATAAAGAGGCAGTAGTGTCACATCTATTTGAAGTACATTTAATGTCACCGTTAAGCTGTATCAATTACTTTGTATATGTAACAAACAACGGATATGAGTTTTTGGCTTATAAAAATTATCTTGCATTAAGTCTGAGATTTTATTTTGTTTCAAGTTCAAATATCTGGTGTATATCTGTTTGAACACCATCATCAACAGAGCCTTATGATGGAATATATCATTTCCTAAATGAACACCCACAGAGTTTTAGAAGAAGTCAACTCTCCACACCATTAGTTTGAGCTATAATTAAACCATAATGCTGGCAACAACATGTCATAATTTCAAGCACTGGCATTTTAAAATGCAGTTAGTTAAAAAATTTTTTTTAGTTTTAAAAGTTTACTGAGTCTATGTTCTGTTTCATTTGTATCTTCCTTTATAGTGTTAGACATTCAAAAGGTGCTCAATAAATACTTCGACAAATTATTAAACCTTCTAAGCCTCATTTTTACTCATCAAAGAGATGGGATTAATACCCATATCATAAAGTCATTGGAGGATTAAACGAGATAGTGCTTTGTACCGTGCCTGGTACATAGTAACCATTCAATCAAAGGCTGCTATTATTATGTGCACGTCTGATCCTTGTAAGCCTGGTTGAGGGGCTGTTTTATCCTCAACACTGTCATCTTATATTTCAGCTCTATAAGCAGGGTAATAGTTGAGTAGCAAAACACAAAGCCAGGTTCAGAGACAAATTGGAAACTCTAAATGTACATAGCCAGCCAATAATGAGACACTGCAGACTAAGTAGCTTATGAAACAAACTTTTACCCTTTGGAATGATTTTTTTATCCGCCACACAGCATAAAGTTAGGATTGAATAACTTAATGCACATTATAGGTCAAATGCAAATGTTGCTTCACGTGAGTTTTCTCTCCACCAAGGATTTTCATCAATTCTCCATGGGCCTATGACTCCAAGCAGATCAAGAACCACTGACCTAGACAATTGCAGGCACGGAAGGTACTTTGTTCTTCTTATAAGCACATTTGGTAGTGCGGTGCAGCATGCAGGATCTTAGTTCCCTGACCAAGGACCGAACCCGCGCCCCCTGCATTGGAAGCGTGGAGTCTTAACAACTGGACTGCCAGGGAAGTTCTAAAAATAAACTTCTAAAAGAGGGTTTTTTCTGACTCTTCCCCATTTTTGCAGATGCTCTTCAGGTGTTATTCTGAATCTTCTCTGTTTCTCTTTGAGTGTATTCTTTTGATCTCTCCTCAGCAGAGACACAGAACTGTTGGCCACAGTCATTCAGATTTGATCTCAATTTACTACTTTACTCTTCTTGCATTAAATAGTCATTTTATAGGAATTTTCTCTGCTGTTACCAACATTCCACATTATCCATATTATTTCCCTTTTAGATGATGATATGGGAGAATAAGATCAGTGTTCTACATGAAAGATGAGACTTCATAGACAATAGAAGGAAGATTCACTATCATCCAGTTTAGAAAAAAACTGAAAGTGGTGGTAGATGGTGGACAGAATAATTTCCTTAAAACACTGAGTTAAAATAGTTTAACTCTACCCACAAGAGATTTACTGATCTGAAGAAATCACAAAAAAAGATATATTGATTCTCAGGCTAAAAAATCAAGAAGGACTTGGGTTGGTCAGCAACCTTACTGAATTATCTAATATCAAAGAATGTTTTCAGGGAAAATCTCATGAATAGAAGTAAAGAACAAGAATTTGTAGATATTTTTCCCCAATAGTGATCAAAAGATAGAGACATAAAAACATGACATTCTGGAAGCCCGAGGGGCTTGTGCTGTGGTGGGACAGGATTCTGCTTAGATTTCACTGCCGTATTTTGTATAAGCCATTTCAAGAGTATTCACTGCATGTTGCACTAATTCCATGTTCACTAAACTATCTTTTTTGGACCCAACATAATAGTCTGACTCCATCATTTGGTGTTTGACTACAGACATCTTTTATGCCTTACGCCTCCCTCTTCCCCTTCTGTCTCACATCTGGGCAAGCTGATAAAAACCTAGGTGCTTTGTCACCAACAGCAAGTTCAAATCATGCACTAAAACCCTTACTCCAGCCTCAGCCCCTAACCACCATAAAAACTCAAAGGCAATCTCCTTTTGTCCTTTCACAGTTCTTTCAAGCCATTTCAGATCAGCTTGAGAGGCCTGTCCTGCTCTCCCCAGAAAGTGAATATGGGAATAAAAAACCTTTTCATACATTCTTGGTGTGTGTGTGTGTGTGTGTGTGTGTGTGTGTTTGTGATGATTAGTTTCGAAATCCAAACCAAATTTTGGGTGGGGATCCATCTCAACTCTGTGGACTGGCCATAGCAGCCAGTCACCAAGATACTGGAAGGAGGGTCCCTTGCAATGAAGACATAATAATTTTAGTACCTAGGAAGAAATCTGCATCCAAGAGTAACTTAGTAAACTGAGACTCTAGTTCAGGTGTCCGCAATCCCCTGGCTGTGGACCGGTATGGGTCTGTGGCCTGTTAGGAACCGGGCCACGCAGCCTGAGGTGAGCGGCAGGCCAGTGAGTGAAGCTTCCTCTGCCGCTCCCCATTGCTCCCCATTGCTCGCATTACCACCTGACCCATCCCACCCACGCCCCCGACCCGTGGAAAAATTGTCTTCAACGAAACTTGTCCCTGGTGCCGAAACAGTTGGGGACCACTGCTGTAGTTCATACATCAACTTTTTGTGAGTTTATATACTGGGAATCCATTCCATTGAATCTAATCAATGTTAACATGATGTCAAGATTCAATTTCAGAAACTGAGAAGCTGAAGATTACTCTTTGGAATTTGGTAACCTTTCCAAGAGATCACTACAGCACACTTTCTCTTTTTGCTTTTATTTATCACATGGAAACACAATTTTATTCCTCTAAGAAATAATGCACACACACTTCATTTGAAGGAACAGTTCTATTTTATGGAAGGGAAACTTAGATGCCTGCAGGGGGCAGTAGGTAACTTAAATGGAGCAGGCAAGAGAAAATAGACATGCTACGCTTTGCATTACAACCCAGAATAATCTGGCTCTATTACATTGCCCATTAAAACCCTTTGCTGTGCTTTAAAAGGTATTGTGAAGCCAGATTTTGACCCCCTGCTGTAACTGCTAATGTTGAAAAGTTGCATAAATAGGAATAGCAGCATTTTAACCTCTTTGTTATTAAACAAAAACCTCTTGGTATCTGCAATGTAGACACTAACTTACAGGAATGTATATAAACAAGTGAAGAGTGCCACTGAAGGAATCAAGGCCTTTGTTTCAACTCTCTCTTGCTTTGCATTTCCACTTTCATTTTTATTTTATTTTGACCAGACCCTTATGCTTCATTAATTGTTACAAAATCTGATGCTCAATAAATGGACATTACTCCTGAAATAAATCCCGATGTTGACTTTGGTATTTTCAAACACTTTTTGGAAATACCAGGGTCAATATTTTATGGAAGGTTTTCTGGAAACTTTGAGCTATTTGATAAAAACATGACAAATATTATTCACTGAACTAGAAATCTGCAAAAACATAGATTTATTTTAATAGAATTCTGGGATTTTGGAATTATCCAGAACTAGGTTCAAATAATGGCTTCACCAGTTACTGTGTGACTGGGGAAAGTTCATTAGCCTCAACAGTCCTGTGGAATGTTGTGAGGATTAAACGAGATTGCCTACATAAAGCATCCATCGTATTGCCCAGCACAGGAAGTCCTCCATAAATGTTAACCCCTTTCATTTCCAAGTTAGTCCACGCAAGTCCTTTTGGGCTTTGGTACTGTGAAACCTCGTAGGGGCTTCATGAGCCTGATGGTTCATATTTACTCACAATATTCAAACTTGCATAATCATAGAGGATAGTTTAATTGATTTAACTTGTGGAGGTACAATAACAATTGCAGGAATTACTGTGGTGTGTTGACTCACCCATATTTGAACTTGATGTGATAAAGAAGGTGAAAGAATTAATGATGGTTATTTCTCACTTATGGCTACTCACAACTATTGATTTTCTTCTCTTGCTTTCTGACAAGCACAGGAAATCTACCTGCTGTGCAGACAAAGTTTTAATCAACGAACACAAATAGCCAAGCAACCGACTTTCTGAAAAATGAGTCCACTATTTACTTTAAAGGAGTAGTCTCTAAATGGGAAATCATTGCCTATCCTCAAAAAGCATGGTTACGCACTGATTCTACAGAAGTAAACTCTGATGCTAGGAGTGGAGGAGACTCTGAAAGAAATCAAGCTTTCTGCTTCTTCCCTCCCAGAGGATCTTTTCAAGTTAATATCCCTGAAAGCCTAAAACAAAGCCACTTACAGACACAAGGTAAATGCAAAAGCCTGTTAATATAATGTTAGGGTTGAATATGTAAATATATCAAAGGTCAAATTTCAGTTACAGTTCCCACAGCAATTGGAACTTAGCCACTTAACACTTCAACTGTAACAACAACACAGAGTATCCACAACCAGAGAAAGCATTTCTGCAGCAGCTCTAGGCCTTTCTGTCATTGAAAAGTTTTGGCTATTATGTTGCATTTTGTTTTGGTGTGTTTATTCACATTAGGATTTTAAACGCATCGCATGTAGGGCCTACTACTGAAAGCTCTTCAAATTGGTCTGTTTCACATTAATCCTAAAATTGTCCACTTCAGCCAGTGGTATTATAAATTCGTCCTTACACTTTTTTTTTTTTTTTTTTGTCTGCGTTGGGTCTTCGTTGCTGCATGCAGGTTTTCTCTAGTTGTGGCAAGCGGGGGCTACTCTTTGTTGCGGTGTGTGGGCTGTAAGAGTGAGGGCTTCAGTAGTTGTGGCTCGCGGGCTCTAGAGCACAGGCTCAGTAGTTGTGGCACACGGGCTTCGCTGCTCCGTGTCATGTGGGATCTTCCCGGTCCAGGGCTCGAATTCGTGTCCCCTGCATTGGCAGGCGGATTCTTAACCACTGTGCCACCAGGGAAGCTCCATCTTTACACTTCTATGGAGAAACATTTATGATAAATCCTCCCTGGAAGGCTGTTTTTATGCTACAGTGTAAGTCAAAAAATTTAAGTGTTCACCATGCAGCAAACGAATTCAAAGTGCGAAATGTGTAAAAATGAAGGGCCAAAAGCCAGTAAGCTTCACCCAAAGCTGAGGGTGAAGTAGTTTTATGGAAACTACTAAAATAAAGCAACAACAGAGTAAACTTTGGATAAATTTTGTTTTAAAAGCAGAGGTATAAATGATTTTTTATTATACACATAGCAGGAAAATAAAGACAACAAATATAGTTTCATAGTCAGATGAGAATTAGTGATCTCTGAACCTGTCTTCTTTGTATTCAAAGCTCAGAGTAACAACTCAACATTATGCCAGAATCACGATGTGAGATCAAATGGCTAGTTCGTATAGTCAAAGTAAAGTGAGTGATTCTAGAATATCTAGAACAAGGGCCAACAAACTATAGCCCACAGACCAAATATAGCCTGAGGTCTTTTTATAAATAAAGTTTTATTGCAATATAGTCAAACCTACACCTTTATATACTGTCTGTGGCTGCTTTCATGCTACAATGACAGGCAGATGGAATGGTTGTGATAGAGACTACTGGGTTGGCAAAGCTTAAAATATTTACAATCTGGACCTCTAGAGAAAATTCACCCAAGAAGCTTAAATAAAAGCAGCTATAAGGATCCACTGCCTGGATAAAGGTCCTACTGTATAGCACAGGGAACTTGTGATAAACCATAATGGAAAAGAATATGAAAAAGAATATATGTATAACTGAATCACGTTGCTGTACAGCAGAAATTAACACAACATTGTAAATCAGTTATACTTCAATAAAATAAATTTGAAAAAGAAAAGATCCATTGCCTGAAATATACAACTTTCTATATTTGGTTGAGAAGTTGACAAAAAAATGCATAGACTAGAAATGAATATTTATTTTGTCCACTTTCGGGCCATAAAGTTACCAAATTCCAACTAAAATGTGGATAAATCATCCCTTAAAGAGTTTTAGAAAAGTTGATACAATTGCCTCTTTTTCATAATCTAACCATTGATGTACAGGCCCGATACAGTTAAAAATCTATGTCTTGCTGGATTTAAAGCTTTAAATTTCAAATGTCCTGTACTTGAAATCCAAATATTAGAAAATATATTTATGTTTTTTTACTTCAGGGGTATTTTTATTGAAAGTCAAGTAGAAATAGAATACCCCAAGCAAAATATTTATCATTTAATAACCAAGTTTTAGAGAAATGAGGAAGAATGGACAAAATAGTTATACTCAATACAGAATGAAAGAATGCCAGAAGGAACTTAGTGACATGTAAAATTGGTCTTGTAAAATAATGGGGCGGCTTCCCTGGTGGCACAGTGGTTGAGAGTCCGCCCGCCGATGCAGGGGACGCGGGTTCGTGCCCCGGTCCGGGAAGATCCCACATGCCGCGGAGCGGCTGGGCCCGTGAGCCATGGCCGCTAAGCCTGTGCGTCCGGAGCCTGTGCTCCGCAACGGGAGAGGCCACAACAGTGAGAGACGCCCGCATACCGAAAAAAAAAAAAAAAAAAAGAAAGAAAGAAAGGGTAAGAAATAGTTTTATTAGCTGGAGGAAACATGGGAATATTTATGGAAGTTTCAGCAAGGGAAATTTAGGCAAACTACAATAAAAAAAAAAAAAGGCAGAGCCGTAAGAAAAACCAAGCTATATAAAATTCTGTCAAGAAGACTGGAAATTCGTGTTCATATAATACCATGAATAATGAAAGCAATTATGGAAAATGGCAAAAAGATTGCGTATTTTTCAGAAAAAAGTTAAGCCTGGAATTATAAAATGGTCGATTTAGCCTCAAACCTAAAAAAAAAAAATACTCAAGCGACTCATCCAGAAATCAATTTTCAACTGCTTAGAAGATCAGAAGGTACAAAATAATAACTACCATGGCTCTGGATTTCTGAAAAACACATTTGGTCACACCGATCTCATTTCTTCCTATGATACAGTGACCGGAAGAGTAGATGGAGTCAACTGAGGTCTTTCACTTAGTTGCTTATGACGTGCATCTTGTAAGAAACACAAAGATGGTTTAGAAAAACACAGACTTTCCTAGGCCTGCAATATGGAAACCACTAGCTCCAGGCGGCTACTATACACTTGAAATGTGGCTAGTCTGAATTCAGATATGCTGTGAAGTGTAAATATATAACAGATTTTGAAAACTTAGTACAAAAAACTCATATCGATGAATGTATATTGGTTATATATTGAAATGATAATGTTTTATATATTCTGGGTTGAATAAAATATATGATTAAATTAATTTCACCAGTTTTAAAATATTTCAATGTGACTATTAGCAAATTTAAAATTACACATAGTTTGCACTTGGGCTTAACAATATTTCTACTGGAGAGCACTGTCTGGAATATGGATGCTAAACCCAGTAGATTGTGGAGAATCTTTTGTCCTTTGTGAGCATCATTTTTTCCTATGTAACAGAGAGTGGGAAGGTTGAGAGGTTGGAGGGTAGGATGGGGGCAGGAGAGTTCTTTGTTGGGCTGTTGGACAGTGTGTCCCCTCTATTGCTGTGTGGCTAGCATTTCTAGGCCCCACCCACTCATGCTTCCCCATCTCTAGTCATGACAGCCCAAACCATCCTTCTCATGGTTCCAAATGCCCCTAGGGTGATATCCCATGTTGAAAACCAGTGGGCTAGGAGATTGCTCATAGGGTCCTTTTCAGTGCTGAATTTTTATGATTCCACAGTGTGATTTTATAAAACTCCTTTTTTTGTTTTGGTTTTATGAAAATTACTTTTTATTGATATATGAACCTACTGTCTAATGACAGCCCACTTGAGGGCTGAACACACGACCATTCTTAGTGTTTACCTTGTACAATTTTCTAAGTTTGTATGAAGTGTATTCATCTAGCATTGTAGCACTTAGCACCTGCTGCTTTTTATTTCATTCATTTATGTACGTGTCTTGTGCTCCAAGCAAGATCATAAGCTCTGATGGCAGGAAGTTTCTTATATAACCTTTCTCTCCCATAACAAATGAATAATAGATACCAGTGAAGTAAATGTATCCAGAGGTCAGGATAGCTTTCTGGATTGAGTTAGAATCTGGTGTTATTTAATATTTTCAGCAGTGACTGTGATGGTCATTCATTTGAAACTTAACCATATGCTGCCTTAGGCGATATAAACATTTGACTGTCCAAATAAAATAGAATTCTTTGAGGACAGAGAATTATGTGTTACTGTGGTAATAATAATATTTTAAAATAACTGTGATATATTCATTTTCTAATTTAGGAATTGAAAGAACCCTAAAAAGCAGACATTGTTATCATCTCCATTTTACTGAAGAGGAAACCTAGGTTTAAGGAAGTTGAAAACCTGATGATTTGAAGATAGAACTTGAATTCAGGTCATCTGATGCTGGACTGATGGTCTTTGTGTCACTCTACAACACTGTAATATTCCTTCCTTTGTATCTGTCCTAGTTTGGTTTTCCATAGAAGTTGACCCTGAGAAAAGGATTTGAGTGGAAATTTGGGGAGGTGCATGGAAAACCTGAGGAGTAGGGATGAGAAAAGCATCCAGTAAGGAGTGATATTAAGTCACTATATGCAAATGGGCCTTAATATCTCAGGTAAATACTGGAAATGGAGATATTTGGAGCATTTGGAGATTGGGCCTTTATAGAGGTGATTAAGCTAAAATGAGCATGTTAGAGTGGGCCCTAATCCAATCTGTCATGTCCTTATAAGAAGAAGAAATCTGGACACGCAAAGAGACATCAGGGATGTGCACACAGAGGAAAGACCATGTGAGGACGCAATGAAAAGGCAAGCCAAGGAGAGAGGCCTCAGAAGAAACCATACTTGCCAACAGCTTGACCTTGGACTTTTACCCTCCCGAACTGTGAGACAATAAATGTCTATCATTTAAGCCACCCAGTCTGTGGTATTTTGTTATGGCAGCAATTGCAAAAGAATACATGATGGCTCAGAAATTTTCCTCCCAAGTAGTAAGGGAGCTGGAATAAATGTTCTTAAGTTTCACACTCTGTACTCATGGGTCTCATATGGTCTCCTTGTCAACTCAAAGCCCCTGGCTAGGGACTCTGACCTGTGAACCACCTGGACTGTCCTCACCTGCTTCCTGTTTTTGCCTCCCCACTGCCATCCCTGTCCTGCTATTTTCCAGTATTGCTCACAACCATGCATAGACAACACACCCATTGCCATCTGAATAAGACATTGGAGAATCGGCCTTCCCAGCTACTACTCAGGTAGATGGGTATTTTGGAAATAGCATTAGAATTCAAAAAGAGTTAGAAGCGCTGGAATGAAGTACACAAAGTGAATTTTAATAGCAAACACACATAGGATTAAAAACATTTCAGAGAGACAACAGCCATCAGTTATAGCTAAAGATTTTGAATTCCAACTGAATTTCAATGCAGAATATAGCGCAAAAACACATTATCCGTGTCATTACTTTAAGTAAAGAGCACAGGGCAGATACAGAACAAGTGAGGTACAGATGTGAACGCACATTTTAATTCATTGCACCAGTGGTGTTAGATGATATTATTATGTATCTAGAGGACAAGAGGATATGCTGGAAGAAGAAATTAATTTTCCATTACACATCTGGGTAAAAATTATATCTAGTTTGGAACATTATGAAATGATATATAAAATGGAAATATTGAAAAGAGCAAGAAGTGAAAAATAGAGATGGTTTAACATTTGTTTAGAAATCTTTGAGGAAAAGCCTGTGAAATTTGGAAAATGAAGATCAGCAACAATACTGAAGTGTCTGAAGTGGTATCTGGTGGATTCAGGTCAGTTATCTATTCCTATTGGGGATTTACAAGAGAAGAAATGGATATTGAAAGCTGAAGGAGAGATTTAACTGAGCCTCACAAACCTTGAGGGTCAGAGTAAAATATTAGAAAATGCCACCAAAGGTTAAAAAAATTTCCTCTCCAGGGACCTGTAAGAACAAGGATGATCGATCACACTTTACAATGGATCTTGGGAACCAGGCCACACAATTTATCAAAGTGAGAACAAATAATTTGGAAGTATAGCTCTGAGAACAAATAATTTGGAAGTACAGTTCTTGGACACTTGAGTGGTATTTAAGAATTCAGTGACAATTTAACTTGTCTACAACTTCTTTATTTAAAGCCTGACCTAATCTCTCTCAGAACTGCAGGTTCAAATTGATTTCTGTGGCCTGGATAGACACGTATTCTGGTGGAGTTATGTAAGGTGCGTCTATAGAGGAGGGAGATGAGCCTCTCGGAGATTTTTCTATCTTTGTGTTGATATTTTATTGAGATGAAATTCACATAACATAAAATAAACCATTTTTAATGCGTTCAATTCAGTGGCATATGATATATTCACACTGGTACAAAACCATCACCTTGATAAAGTTCCAAATTTGTGTTGATATTTGCAGTCAAGACAGTCTTCAGTGTATTTCTTTTTGAGGTTTCCTAATAAAATAACAATGTGGTACAGAATCTAGAAATCTGAGGGGTTTTGGTAAACTTTCATTTGGAATTAAAACAGTTACTTAATACATGAATGATACATGTTTGTGCTTCATAAATGAATGATAATAAAATAAGTTAGAGTGCTATTAACCAATAAGATAAAATGCTGATTAGAGAGTGTCCTGCTAATTATCTTCAGGAGAACTATGAAAAGGTACTACACCCCAAAAGGCAAATTTCAAATAAAACTTGATTATTGTTAGCTTTAGAAAGTTCAATCTTTAGTGGGTAATTTTGTGTATGAACTTCAGAAACACTAATATAAAAGTCTATCCCTCTATGTTGGCCAACTGTTACATGATATAGTTGAAAAATGTTAAGCATAATGGCAAGATAAACACGGGTCATTGAGACAAGTAAAAACATGCAGTATTTTATAAATAAGTACATAGGAATGAATGAACATTTAAGAGTAATAAAACTAGATACAACAGGCTTTGATGATGTAAAAATATATATGCTTAGAAAAGAGCAGAAGGAATTGTCTTCCCACTCTCACTCCAACAAGGTAGAGAAGGTATGTGACAAGCTGGTGTTCTTTCTGCACACAGAGGATTAAGACATGAGAGAACCAGATGTTCTCTCAGGAAATCCAGAGATTTCTGGCCCTTTGTATTTTACTTTGTGAGTGGTTTTTAAAGATAGGTAATGATAGATAGATGATAGATAGATAGTAGCTAGATAGATTCATTGAATAATACATGTAACCTTAGGAAAACACATGTTGTTTGAAGAGAGGAAAGATTCCCCAGGCCAAGTATCTCTCCCTAGAAGTCCTCCTTGGGGCCTGAGAACACTCTCAGAAGACAATATAATTTTGGGCTAAACTGTATATATGTGCTCTGAACGTGGTCACATACCAGATAGTTACAGCATCTCTCCAATTTGTTTAAGAAACTAATTTAGTAGGACCAGTAGTGACTGGATAAATCAGGGTGGAGGAATTTCCTCAAGACTAAGGATGTGAGGTTAAGGACTTCATCGGGAGAGGGTAGTTTGGGGGACCTGACCCAGAGCATCATCATGAGGGCATCGGAAACCCATCCTGAAAGAAATAAAGAACTCAGAGGCATTCTGAACAGGCTTGACTGTCCTTATGATCTGGTCTATAACTGGTGGTACTGGGCTCTCACAGAGAAGCCTTCTTAATACAGTCAGTATTCATTATTTCTCTGCAAAACATTTAGGGTACAATAAATAACATTTCCTGTATTGGGAAGTGATATCTTTTTTTTTTTTTTTTTAAATCAAGAAAAGCGATATCTGCAGCTTTACATAAGCATCCTTCTATTTCACCAACAGTGCATCTGCTTTTGGGTTAGTTGCACCTATCACACTTCGCCAGTAACGCTGAGCCTTTGAAGGAAGATTTTGTTGTTTGGCTCTTCTGAAGCTGGCTGATTTCAGTTTTTCTTGACTGATCCTGTAAACTACTTAACTGTCCCCAAATTCCTCTTAAAGAGAAAATTTTCCATTGCAAATATGAGATAAACAACAACATCTTTAATATTAACATTCCTTAGCCCACCTACTTTGAAAGGCATGAGTTTTTCCATCACCCACTTTTCTCTTCTTGGCAGTAGTCATAGCAAAGTTTTAAATTTTATGTGGAAAATGGTCCATTTCATTCCCATCAACAATGCTCCCTGCTGCAAACCTCCATATCTGACTGAAGCAACTGTAGTTGACAATAGACTAATTGCTTCGGATGACAAATCCCTGAAGTAGAGGAGACAGATAGGATAGGTTTGGTTCCCTTTGGGCCTCAGTTTTTCCATTTGAAACAGGAAAAAGTCCCTGAAATTAGAGCATACACGTTGGAATGACCATGGGTTGCCTATCAAGGATCTGAGTATACAGGTGTCACTCTGGTGTCTTGAAGAATGTGCAAGGGATTTTGAGTCTTATACTCCTCTGTGTAAATCTCCAATCCAAAAAGCACCTATCACTTCAATTCTGTCTTCTTTTAAGTGGGAATCACGTCTGGCTTGAAGCTTTGTTGTGAGGATTAAAAAGAATGTATATAAAGATCCTGGCATAGGGTAAGTACGCAGCAGGTGACTATAGAGGCATTTAAAGTCTCTGAACTACCTAGCTTAGTGCTCCACACACAGGAGAAGCATCATAAATGTTGGTTTCTTTCCTCTTTCCCTTTCTTATTATATATCACAGCAACGGCCTGGATTTCGGCATCAGGATTCAGATGCAATGCAATTAAGATATTGTCATGGACTGAATTGTGTCTGCCCCCTCCCCAAATTCATATGTTGAAACTCTAACCCCCAGCACCTCAGAATGTAACTGTACTTGGAGATGTCTTTAACTAGGTGATTAAATTAAAATGAGATCTTTTGGGTATGTACTAATTAATCTAACTCATGTCCTTATAAGAAAAGGACAGTTAGATACCAGCACTGTGCGTGTGAGTGCATGTGCGTGCGCACGTGTGTGTGTATGCGCACACAGCAAAGATCACATGGGGACACAGCAAGAAGGCAGTCATCTGCCAGCCAAGGAGAGTGGTCTCAGAAGAAACCAAACCTGCTGACACCTTGATCATCGACTTCCAGCCTCCAGAACTGTGAGAAATTAAATGTCTGTTGTTTAAACCACCCAGTTTCACAGTTTTGTTATGGCAGCCCTAGCAAACTAACACAGAGGTGAATATATTTCTGAATATGTGCATCTGATGATATGTACAGATCCCCCCAAATTTTTTAAAAAGTAGAAAGAAAGAAAGGAACGAAGGAGGGGAGGAAAATTCCTGGTGTTATGGGCTGAACTGTGTCCCTCCAAATCAAACCCTGAATTCTTAATCCTCAGGACTTTGGAACGTTACTATATTTGGAGACAGTGTCTTTAGAGAAGCAGTTAAGCTAAAATCGGGTTACTAGAGTGGACCCTAATCTAATATGACTGACAGTCTTATGGAAATAGGAAATTTGGATGCAGACAATGTGAAAACACAGAGGGAAAATGGCCATCCACAAGCCAAAGAGAGAGACCTGGAGCAGATCGTTTCCTCAAAGCTCTCAGAAAAAGCCAATCCTGCCAACACCTTGATCTCAGGCATCTAGTCTCCAGAACTGTGTGAGAAAATACATTTCCCTTGTTTAAGCCACCCAGCCTGTGGTGCCTTATTTTAACAGCCCTAGCAAATTCATCAGTGAAATAACATCTGCAAATCCAATAAGCAAGTAAATCAAGCCATACATTGTCAGCAAAGAAAGCTAGCTTTTCAATAAGTTTCTAGAGTAAAGTTTCTCTAGTTGTTATATCTTATAGTCCAAAAAGCAATATCAAAAATCCTGGGCCTCACACCATGCTAGAAAAACAAAGCTGTTTTTCCTCCCATTTTATCCTAAGAAAAACATTTATTTTACAGGCATACTTTAAAAACATTTTAACAATGTAAATTTTAAGAACATAAAAGAGTGGCAGTATTGGAAATCAATGTTATTGAGAATTCTCTTTTATAGCTATT